TTGAATATTGAAGGTTTTTCTTTGAAAATAATTGTCATATAACTCAAAAATTAAGATGAAAAAATTAACAAAGAACAATACAAGTAAATTAATCTAGTCAAACAAAGAATATATAGTATAGTTAAGCTACTCTTTAAGAAAATATTTATATTGGAGGCGCTCTTTCATAAAATGTTACTTTCTTTTTCATTTTTATTTAGAATGTATTTGAATTAAGCGTTAAAAATTCGAACTAAAATCGAACTTATTTGCTTTGTGAATGAAAGGCATATTCAAATTAACCAAAAACTAACTGAACCGACCCATTATTCCTAATCTGTCTTTGTAGCTACTGACATGTATACTGCATGCATAACATGGTGGCACCCGCAACCTTCGAATCCTGAATTCGCCTCTGCCTTTAATCTCCTTTTGTTGGAGCTATTACTCCTTTGGTGCTGACCATCAGAACAACCCCCTTGTCTGCTCCTAATACCATTAAGTCGTTATAATTAAATATCAAGTATTGAATTGTATTAGAAGATATGATTACACGATTCGAAGTGTTAAAATATATAGTAGAAATTTGGGGTTTGAATTTCCTTGAAGAGTATGATTACTCTTTTAATTTTATTTTCCTCTTTTACAAGTATCTTCTAATGGTATTACATCCAGAATGATGTCTATATTTATAATCTGCCGAGGTACTTGAATGTTTATCAAATCATCGTATGTGGCAATGTGCGGCATGAGATACAACTAAAACAAACACGAATTTTTCGCAGCTTAGAATTAAACCTTGCAGGTTCGTATCGGTTGGTTGATTAATTGTGTAGTTTATTAGTACAACTTTGATACTTCATATTTGATGTTATGTATTATTTAAAATTACTTTTAAGGGAGACTTATCGTATGATGTTTGACAATTTAGATAAAAGGTTTGGTGAGGGTTGACGTGACTTAATTTGATTTTGTTATTAAGATTAACTTTCCGAGAGTACCAAAACATAAATAGACAAGATTAATCATAGTATGTTTGGTAGATCGAAGTTACATTCCATAAAAAGATTATGGAAAATGCTTTTCTTAATTTTTTCTGTGTTTGGTTGATGAGCGAATAAAATTGGACAAATATAATAATATTAAAAATTTGAAGATTGTTTTGGTGAAATTTTTGAATACTTAAGATTAAAATAATGTCTAGTGTTAGTTGGAGCTAGTGATATGAAGTTAAAAAGTAGTAAGATAGTTGTAAGAAAATTAATTTCACTCATAAATGAGGGAAATCACTTCCTCTTTAGTAGAAGAATATTTTTCTTGGAAAATAATTTTTGATAATCGAACATTAAAAAGGGACTTTCATCAGGGACGGGTTCAATTGAACCCATAACTTTTGACACAAGTACAAATTTATGTGTAAAAATTCATTAAAATTGCAACATAGATATGAACTATAACTTTAAAAATATAATGAGCTCAATATTAAAAATCTTAAAAGTTGAACTCATAGAGTTTAAATTCTGAATCCGCTTTTGACTTTTATATGGAAAATATATTTTTGAAAAATGACTTTTATCATGAGGTTTGTAAGACAATCTACACATAGGTCGCAAACGAATACGACGACCATTTACCATAAAATATCATTCCAGTCCCAAAAAAAATCCTTGAAAAACCCAAGCAAAATAGATACAGTAAATAAATAAAGATACCTTTTAATTTCTCTAATTTAAATCCGTACATATGTGTTTTTTTGAATTCCACCAGCGCTCTTCGTCCTGTTAAAGTGTTCCTTTAATGTAGCATTTCTATTTCCTGATTCATTTTTTAAATTCTTCTAGGGCCATAAGATGTCATGTCAACCTTTTGAAACTTCAAATAAATTGCTACATTATCTTGAGCAAAAAAACAAATACTATATGTTGCTAGAATTATCTGTTATATTGTTATAATTAAAAAAGTCAATTACTGTAGTAATCTTTGTTTCACAGACAGAGTAAAATCTTCAGGACCATTATTCATGGATATAACGAATTAACGATGATAACAGCAAGTTAATTATGTATTTGAAAAGTTAAAAGGGATATGCTTAGCTGTAGTAAACCCAAATAACGGTCAACGTGGATCCACTTTATCATGGACTAATGATTGTTATTTGCTGCTGATTAAGAATTCCAATGTTAGATTTCCTTGCGCAGCCAGCAAAGTTATAAGGCACTATCATTTTAAGGAGTTTTTAACAATCTGTCACTATCATTTTATGTATTTATATTTCATAGCTAGTTTTGGACAATTTGTTGTATTTGAGTGTATTTGAATACATTGTTCAACTGTAAGTTTTTTAATTTATTTTTATTTTTATTTTTATTTTTTTCCGCATATATTTGAGTGTATTTGAATATACTATTCGGTTGTATCCAACCTTATTTGATGTCGTAAGGTTGAACGTATTTGACAGTATGGAATGTATTTACACTAAAAAAAATGACAAAATGAAGAATACAGCCAGATCTCCGGCGAAAATACAAAATACACTGTATTTAAAAAGGAAGAATATAATCAAATCCGGTCGAATCACCGGCGAAATACAAAATACAATGTATTTATACTAAAACAAATGAAGAATACATTCAAATCCTTTTAGAAATACACATTATTTGCACTAAAAAATGAAGAATACAGTCAAATCCAGTCAAATCTCCGACGAGAATATACTGTATTTAAAAATGGAGAATACAATCAAATCCCGATCTCCGAAAAAAAATACAAAATACACTTTAGATCTCTAATGAAATAAAATACACTATATTTATATAACAATTTTTCCAGCGCGAAAGGCAGTAGAGAAGAAAGATGTGGCTTTTTTTTCAAGCGTGAAAAGTAGTGGTGGAGGAATAAGTTTTCAGTCAGATGAATACACTCAGATGTGAAATACAAAGAAGGAGAAGAAGCCATAGATTCCGGCATCTCTGTTAGATCCAGATCCAGTGACGTCTTAAATATTGCAACTTTGTGATTTCAGATTTGAATCTGACAGTGGTGGCGACGGTGTTTAAGGGTGATTCGCGGTGAAGGGGGTAGTGGTTTGGTAGTGGGTGGTGATAGGTCTGGTTTGGCGGTGGTGATTTGTGAAGACGAACGAGGGTGGTGATGCATGGAGATAAGAGAAGGGAAAAGAGAGAGAGAGAGAGGCGGCTGTTTGGTTGGGTTCCGATAGAGCTCCGCCAAGAAAGATGACTGGTGACGACTTGTATACTGGATATCGGCTGGTTGAGGGAGAAGAGAAAAGGAAAATGAGAG